TCAAACGACCTTTTTTTATCAATCATCCGTTTGTAATTTTGTTTTGAAAACGATCGTTTTAACCGCCCGTTTCAAACGACCGTTTTAACCGTCCGTTTCAAACGATCGTTTTAACCGCCTGTTTCAAACGACCGTTTTAACCGCCTGTTTCAAACAACCGTTTTAACCGCCCGTTTCAAACGACCGTTTGATTGGTAACAAACGAACGGTTGAACTGTACCTCGTTTGCAAAAGAGGATACCAATCTTCCATTTTATGGTTTTTTACTTAACAAAACAGTTTTACTCTCTAGTGGGTTTCAAATCTATATCCGAATCTAATCTAAACCCGGTCTAAAATTTTCTAATACCCGATCCGAACCCGAATTTTCACCCTTAAATAAAACCAACATTTTTAGATTTAGATGTGAATTATGTGAGCGAGAGAGAGAAATCACGTGGTTCATGATTTCTTTTTTTTTTGTATGAGCAATATTGATATTTTGTTATTAAATAGTAGCATAAATGAAAATGGCCAATTGGAAATAACACGTTTATAAAAGTTATTTTTTAAAATAGTGTTTTTGTAAGTGCCTCTTTTATAACTTTTTGGGAAGAGGAGATAAATTAAATAGTTTGTTTAAAAAATTAAAAAAAGGTTAGACAAAAAAAAAATGAAAAAGATTGAACTTCTCATTTTGAAAAAATAAAAATTCTTACCATTTTCTTTTCGGACATTATTAATTTTTCCAAATCTAAAATCATTATTGTATATCTTTCCTAACTTTTTCGTTTTTTTTTATATTTGGCAATTATTGTATATAACCACATTAATTGCATTTGTATATGTCTGAAATGAAAAAATCCTTTTTAGGACACCATATACATTTTAATTAGATGCAATTTCACTTTAAACTAGGAGCCTTTTTTATTCTTTGTAAGAAATAAATTAAAGCATCAAAATTTTAGTGCATAGATTTTTTATATAAAGCATGGAACATAATCATTTATAATCCTAAAGAACAAAAAGCACAAAAAACATCAAACTATTTTGTATAATCTTAATCATGATCAATCGAATGAAGGCAAGATTATTTGTGCTCAACATTCTAATCATAATGGTTATAGTCATAGGAAACGATTTTATTGTTATTCGTGGTGCTAAAATAGATCGACTTTTAAAAAAACTCAACAAACATGCTCTTAAATCAATCAAGGTTACTTAAATTTTTGGATTGACACGTAAACTAAATACACTTAACTGTTCT